CTATCTTCTGCTTGTCATTCTTACCAAACGGGTTTTCGGTCTTATATCTGAAGTAGTATTTTTTTTTATCTCTTATTATTGTTTCTGTCAGCATCGATCATCGGCGCTGAGTTCGGGAGCGGAGAGCCCGATCGATGCATACGGTATCTTCGCGCTCTGTCAGTCTTGAGGAACCGGAAGCGGGCCGGCAGCGCTCCTCTTCGTGTTAGTAGTCCCGTAAAGAGCTTATTAGACCAGGTTGCGGTTAATGAAAGCGATCATTCTGGCCTCGGGGCATCGGTTTGTTTAGGTCCGCCCTCCCGACTCTCTCCCCGAGGAAGCCCGCCCTCGCCCCTACAGCCGGCAGGGCTTTTTGCTTACCTTCCTGCCCACCCTAATGCCCGCCGTTCGGCCCGCCCTCCAGCCCGCGATCGGGTTCCTCCTCCGAGCAGCTACTCGACTCCGAACTCTCGAAGCCACGCGCGCCCCTGAGAGGCTCCTCCGCAACGCGCATGCAAATACCGCCCCTATAGCAGCCCAGTGTAAGCCCCATAGCGGGCCACTGCTGCACAATGTGGTGGGACTTGACAGCTCGGGGGTTGGGCGGGAGGAGGGAGTGTGGAGGGGGAGGGGCGAGGGAGGGAGGGAGGACGAAAGGGGCGAGGGAGGGAGGGAGGAGGAAAGGGGGCGAGGGAGGGAGGGAAGGGGAGAAGGGGGCGAGGAGTAGGGTGGGGAGCTGAGGGGGAGAGCGACTGCGAGTGAGTTCAACGCCCCGTAGATGGTGAGCTTCTTGAGGTGCCGCGCGCTTCTGGATGCCTCGTTATGTGACGCCGTTTAGTGCCCTTTTCTTTGGTACCGATTCTGTTCGAGTCCATTTTAGCAGAAAAGCGGTCTGTCTGGGGAATCCGAGATGGGTGAGCGGCGATCGAGAGGGCGATGGGTTCATTCGTATGTCTGTCAGTGAGCGTGATCCGACTAATTACAGCATGTCACAGCACGTTCAGATATTACGTTTCTCTCAGCATATATTGGGGAAAATGTCTGTCAAAATCAAGGATTCGGTGCGCAGTCTGCCAGGTGGAGAGGAGTGTCCTGACAATGACTTTTACACGTAAGAATGCTTGAAGGAAGCCGCAGCGACGAACGAGTAGGAAGGAAGGGGATCTGAGGACTCGCAAGCAGGAAGGACGGCGCCGAGGGAGGGAGATAAATCCTGCAAAGCCTGTAGCTCAAGCATGTGCTCTGCATACCGCAAGATCCCCTGGACATGCATTTAAACAGGTTACGACGCTTTTCTCGGCCGCGGTTCCCAGGGCGTGACATCACGGCGGCAGCAAAGCGCGCCCGGCTCCCACGGGACGCGGAATTATGCCGGCCGGGAGGATTCTCGGGCCAACGACACCTCCTTCCTGTAATCTTCCCTGCTATTTGTCCGCCCTTGTTTGCCGCGACTTCCGAGGACGGCGAGGGAGTCCGCCGCCCTTGCCAGCTCCCGACGCGTCGCAGCGGCACCCGAAAATGCATCGCGAACGGCGTCGGGATCCGGGCGGCGGCCTCGGCGACGTCGGCAGAAGATCGCGCCGCTTCGTTACACCAGGAAGTTGGTAATGACGAATGGAGTCGCACGCTCGACCTTCAGCGTACGGTACTTGGGCAAGGCAGGACACCATAGCAATTTCGGGTTCACGCCATTAGCGTTATCAATTTCTGGGGGGTCGAGGGAGGGGGGGGGCTTTTCGCCATTTGCTTACGGCCTTATGGGGACTTCAAGGCCCGAGGGGGGCGGCCGTGCACGCGAGGGAATCCGATGCCTCTACGGTTGCTGCTGCCGGCGGGATGCTGCTCGGCCCCGACTATGGGAGAGAGAGGGAAGAAACCCAAGTGGAATTAGATGCATATATGTTTATTGTGGGATAATGGCGCCGCGGTTCTCCCCTCTGCTCGTAAGTCTCGTTCCGGAGAGTCACGGAATGCTGGCCGTGACTTCTTATACGACTCTTCCCGAGAAAACGAGAGACAGATGGACATTTTTTTTTACTCTTTGTTACGAGCGTTACCTTATATCCCCTTCCTTTATTACGTGGAAGTGGGAACGTCTTAGAAAAAAAAGGAGATACGGGCGCAAAAGCTTTCCGGAATTCCCCTATTCTCTTTCCTCCGCTGCACTCTTTCGTACCGTCGCCATCGCTGTGTGAAATTGGCAAGCGCATTCCGCATTGTTTGTAGGCATGAGAATAGCTGTTACGGTATACAGGGACGTCGGTAATAAGGCTGGCGAGGAGGAGTGAGGTCACAGGCACAGGCACATACGGTTATGTTCTTTTTCCCACTAACACACGTTCACCTGCCTGCCAGCACCTCTCTCTCTCTCTCTCGCTCTCTATCTATCTATCTATCTATCTCTCTCTCTCGCTCTCTCTCTCTTTCTCGCTCTCGCTCTCTCTCTCTCTCTCTCTCTCTCTCTCTCTCTCTCTCTCTCTCTCTCTCTCTCTAATAATTTCCCGCAATTGAATTGACTTCGAGAGTGTCTGTGTGGGCGAGATACGACGGGCACGAGGATGGGCAGGGTCTTAAAGGGGGGGGGAGGCGACTTTAAATACCCAAAGATGGAGCCAGAAACGCACCTCCTTTTCTTCGTGATTCGTGTAAATAGCAGCTACGGAAAGCTATCCCGTGTTTACATTCGTGTTTGCTGGAAGTCATCTCAACTGTTGCGACATGAAGATTTTTTTTGACTCGTGCGCGCGTGTGTGTATGTGTCAAGGTTTATTTTCCCCCCCTCCCCCGTCTCTGTGGAAATAACTGTACGTGTGACAATCGGACGATCTGACTTTCGGGTTGATTATATTCCATGGCTTTGGTTAACAACGGGTTGTTGTTGAAAAAAATATATATGTTCTTTTCACGTTTTCATAATATCTTGGGGCGGTCTTTTGAAATGCTATCTGTGGGGAATGTACGTGTCTATATCTGGTAGCTTCGTAACTTCGAAATACGTGTAGCTTGGTTGAGATATTATTTGAGTTACCCCTAAAGTTTGGTTCCCTCTTCCCGCTCTTTCCCCCTGGTAATTATAACAGTCAGTTACCAGGTACCAATAAACGACCCTCGCGTTTGTCGTCCCCTTAAGTCATTGCATCCCGTGTTATTCAATACAGAAATAGAACAATAGAAAGTGAGTTTGTGAGGAAATAAATGCCTTTTTGGTATGATAAAAGGCACCATCGTCATCACAGAACATTGTTTGAGAAGGTGGGATAGCGTTGTGTTGGCCTCCCACAGACGGCGGTCGGATTCCTTGCGTTAGGCTTAAAGGAACGGTGGACCTTTTTATGTGTGTGCAAAGTCGTCGGCGTTTTCTCTCTTTTCTCTCTTTTCTCTCGGTTTCATTTTCTTTCTGTTTTTTCTATCTCTTTCTTTTGTTCTCTGTTTTTTTTTCCTTTCTCTCTCTCTCTCTCTCTCTCTCTCTCTCTCTCTCTCTCTCTCTCTCTCTCTCTCTATCTCTCTCTCCCTCTCTCGCTTCTTACTTACCTTTTTTAAAAACTTTGGTTGGATATTATTCCGGTAAATAATTCATTCGTTCCGAGACAGAGAGGGAGATGAGGCAGAGAGAGACAGGCAGACAGGGAAACGGAGATGAGAGATAGAGAGAGAAAGAGAGAAACAGAGAAAGAAAGAGGTTGGTGGGGAGGGAGGAAGGGAGCGAGGTAGAAATAAGGGAGATCGCAGTGTTCCTACAGCCCTGGACTCCCTCACCCTGGACTCCCGGACTCCCTCACCCCTGGACTCCCGGACTCCCTCACCCCCGGACTCCCTCACCCCCGGACTCCCTCACCCCTGGACTCCCTCACCCCTGGACTCCCTCACCCCCGGACTCCCTCACCCCCGGACTCCCTCACCCCCGGACTCCCTCACCCCTGGACTCCCTCACCCCTGGACTCCCTCACCCCTGGACTCCCTCACTCCTCTTGGTCCTTCGCCGGTGGCTAAGGAGACCCGCTTCCCTCGCTGGCGTATCCTACTCCGCGCCCGTCGCCTCGCGTGCTGAATGAAGCTTATTCTTCTGCTTATAAATCAAGGAGGATAGTCTGCCTTGAGGACTGATGAAGGCTATTGTTCTGCTTTCAGTATTACTAATGGGGGATAGGCTGCCTTCAGTATTAATGGAGGATACCATTCTGCCTTCAGTATTAATGGAGGATACCATTCTGCCTTCAGTATTAATGATGATATTCTGGCTTCAGTATTAATGATGATACTCTGGCTTCAGTATTAATGATGATATTCTGGCTTCAGTATTAATGATGATATTCTGGCTTCAGTATTGATGAAGGATGATAGTCTGCCTTCAGGATTGTCGAGGCCGATGTCCACTAGGTATAAAAGCCGAAAATGTCCCTTTAGGAATAATGCCCCGATCGAGGGTTGACGACCGCCAGGGATTAGCATAAACAGTTTAACATGGGTTGCACGCCATCGATAACGCCCGCCCCTGTCCCTCGCGCCCGGCCTCCCAAGCCAACGCGGCGCAAAATAATCTTTCTGCGTTAACTCTTGTAGAAGAATTTTCTGTGCATTTGAAGTGCAGGGCATCGTTTTGTGTCTTTCTGCAAAAGTACAGAACCGTCATACTCGTCTTTCTTAATTGTTCGTACAAACCAAATAACCGTTGTTGTTGTTTTTTCTTTTCCCTCCTATATAATTTCCTTCGTGTCCTTCGTAATTGGTTGTGTACACCAAGTAACCCTTTTCCTTTTGTTTTCCTTCCTCACATTTGGCTGGTTTCTCTCTCTCTCTCTCTCTCTCTCTCTCACCTTTCTCGTCTTTCTTAGATGTTTATATGCACCAAATAACCATTTTCGTTTTGTTTTCCTTCCTCACATTTGGCTGGTTTTCATTCTCACTCTCTCTCTCTCTCTCTCTCTCTCTCTCTCTCTCTCTCTCTCTCTCTCACCTTTCTCATCTTTCTTAGATGTTCATATGCACCAAATAACCATTTTCGTTTTGTTTTCCTTCCCCAGATTTGGCTCGGACCTGGTGCAGGTGGAGAGCTACGAGCAGAACAACTTCACGGAGCACCTGGCGCACCAGACGCTCGACCACCCCACCAACAGCTACTGGCTTGGCTTGGTCTCCCTCAACGACCTCTCCACCAACACCCTCGAATCGGCCGGGGGCAAGCATGTGTCCCTCTATTCCGGTGAGTTACGTGGGTTGTTTATTCTCTCGTGGAAAAGAGTGTGTGTGTGTAAGATTGATTCGTGTTTGGTCTTACTTCCTTGAAAAAAAAGTTTTTTTTTTTAATTGTAAGATCGAGTTTTTTTCCCATGATGTTAAGCTTCGTTAAATGTCTGGTCAGTCCACCTCTATAGCTTGGTGGAAAAGTTATTAGCTAGACTGCTAGATCAAAAGATATATATATAGACCACTCTTACATACACTCTCCCTCGCTCCTTTCCATCTTCCTCCCTCTCTTTCAGTACACGTCTTATTGCGAAGAACTCACCTTTATATGGACGAAATTAACTTCAAATTTGCTTCATTACGTGAATTTTAAAAGCAGCTTTATTCTCGTTTCTTTTATGTAAATATAAAACACCTTTTTCCTTGTTTCTCTTACGTAAATAAAACCAAACTTTATGCTTGCAGGTTTCTGGGCGCAGGGTCAGCCCAAGGTAACGGAAGGCGAGTGTGTCAGAGGCAGGCTGACCGATACGCACCAGTCATGGGAACTCAGCACCTGCGAGACTCTCCTGCCGTTCATGTGCCGCGTGGAGGCCTGTACCCAGGGCGCCGTCCACTGCTCCAATGGGAGGTGCATCAACAAGGTAAGGCCGATGCTTTGTTTCACTACAAAGGTTTTGATTTGTGATATTTTATTTACTTTTTCTTTCCTTTTTTCTTTTGACACGATCTTTGCGAGGACCTATTTCTTCGTTGTTTACCAAGTGAGTGAGTTCCGTTCTCCCCCCCCTCGCAGGCGTTCCAGTGCGACGGCCAGAACGACTGCGGCGACATGTCCGACGAGATGGACTGTCCCAGCCAGTGCAACTTCTACACGCAGTCCTCCGGCGAGTCCATCGAGAGCCCCGACTACCCGAAGAAGTACGGAGCGAACCTGGACTGCAAGTGGACGCTGGAAGGCCCCATCGGCCACAACGTGATCCTTCAGTTCTCCGAGTTCGACACCGAGAGGAACTTCGACACCGTGCAGATCCTGAGCGGCGGCCGGACCGAGGACTCCGCGGCCTCGCTCACCACGCTCTCCGGCAGGCAGGACCTCACCAACAAGCTCTTCATTTCGGCCTCCAACTTCATGATCGTCAAGTTCAAGACCGACGCCTCCGTGGAAAAGAGAGGATTCAGGTGGGTTTGGCCGCGTCGGAGTGTAACCTGAACCCCCTTTTCGCCAACTTAACCTGTCACCAACTTAGCGAGCGAATGAGCTTACCATACTGTCGAAAATCTCGGGTCAATTTTCACTTTACGAACTTTTTTTTTCTTAGGGCATCGTGGAAGACCGAGCCCCAGGACTGCGGCGGCGAGTTGATTGCGACGCCCCAGGAGCAGGTCATGACGTCCTACAACTATCCCCTGGAGTATCCTGGCGGCCTCGAGTGCCTATACATCCTCAAGACTCAGCAAGGTCGTGTCATCACGCTCGAAATTCTGGACTTGGACCTCGAAGCAGGTAAGAGGGAAATAAAAAGAACAGAAAGCCTTTTAAAACAATTTATGTCACGATCGCATCTCGGCTATCTTAATTGGTTTTTATGACATATTCATTCTTCTTTTTTTCTCAGAAAATGACTTCATCCTGATTCGCGACGGAAGCTCGCCCTCCGACCCGATGCTTGCCCGCCTCACCGACACTCAGGACAAGAACCCCAAGTTCATCATCTCCACGGGCCCCTTCATCTACTTCTACTTCCAAACCAACCTCGGAGTGTCTCGCAGAGGCTTCAGAATAAGGTGCCTTCGCGATTCTCAAACCCACTGGAGGGCTTGTCCATACTGAGTGTTATTGATAGATTTAGTTGACTGTATAATGCTCTCCGTTACCGAGCCAGCGTTTGTGACTTCTATCCCTTTTCTTTTAGGTATTCCTCCGGCTGCTCGGTGACAATCGAAGCCTCAAAGGGAACGATCACTTCCCCGGCGTTCGGCATCAGCGACTACCCAACTAACCAAGAGTGTAGTTATCTCATCAAGCGTCCCGGCGGAGGTTCTCTGTCGCTGAAGGTAATCTCGATAACTGTAACAGCTCAGTTTGCTCCTGTTTATAATTTGATTGGTAATGATAGAGAGAAGATTACCTATTGTGCACTTATCAGAAATTTAATTTATTGTCATAAAGGGTAAGGGTACTTATTAATTATGGTAATTCAGTCACTTTGCTAGTTGAATTAAATATGAACAAAGTCAGCATGTTCATTTCATTTACTCAGTTTATATTCAAAGCTTCATCATAATCAAACGTTTCATGCTTTGCAAATAAGACTGGATGGGCGCACCCGAGCGACACCCATCTACCAGAATCTCACCGCCTTTCGCCTTACAGTTCAACGCATTCGATGTCGAGGAGAAGGACACCATCCAGGTCTACGATGGCATGACCTCCTCGCAGGGATTCCGACTGCATTCTGGCAATGGCTTCTCGGCCAAGAACCCTCCTTCATTCACTCTCACGGCCGATTCAGGAGCGATGTTCCTCATGTTCAACTCCGACCCCTTGCGACCCGCTGCCGGATGGTCCGCCAACTTCTCAGCTGGTATGCATTCACTGTGCTTTCATGGCTGCGTTATAGTGAGTGTTTACAGATTTGCAAGAAATGTTTCGAGTATGGAAGGCTTTTATGCCAAAATACTGTATTTAATATACTAAAAGGGTTCTTGCTTCCTTTTTTTCCCCCAAATTCCAGACTGCCCCAAGTTGAACGCCGGAGAAGGTGCCATTGCGTCCTTAACAGACACATCCTTCGACAGCGTTGTCACTTACACTTGCCCGGTGGGTCAGGAATTTGCCAACAACAAGACTTCCATCGTCACAAAATGCATGCCAGGAGGCTTCTGGTCAGAGGACTACATCCCCAACTGCCAGGGTAAGTAATGCTTATGCGATCATAATGTTTGCTTAGGTGTGTGTTTTGTAGTTTTGGATTATTTCCCCGTCTTTAAATAAGGAAATCTAGAATTTTGTTGTTCATTATTTCTTCCTATGGATAATTTATCGATGATCTTGCCCCACAGTCGTCTATTGTGGCCCCGTGCCCCAAATTGATAACGGATTCAGCATCGGTGCCACGAATGTGACTTACCGCGGACAGGCAACATACCAGTGCTATGCTGGCTTTGGATTCCCAAGCAAAGAGCCCGTGGAGACAGTCAGGTGCACAGAACTAGGAGAGTGGGAGAAGCTGCCTGAGTGCCTTGGTGAGTTTTAACATATCTTAATGAAATGATAGACATTAACTTTTCTGCCCCAAAAAGACAAGAGTAATCGTAAATCATTAAGACAATGAAGCAGAGGTTACAGCGGTGTTCATTATTAATGTCGTCATGCCCTGATTTCAGCATCACAGTGCCCTGTCCTTCCTGAGACTCCCTTCGCCCGCCAAGAGGTTCTCAACGGTGGCGGACGAAGCTATGGAACCGTTGTGAGGTTCGAGTGTGAACCTGGCTACTACCGCACTGGGTTGCCCGTCATCCACTGCATGTCTAATGGCTCTTGGTCTGGCGATGTCCCCATGTGCTCTAAGATCCAGTGCCACGAGTATCCCGAGGTACGTTTCTCTTTTTTATTGCTAACTGGAAAAAGAATGAAGAGAAAAAACACATCTTGCAGTTTTCCTTGGTTTCAATTTAAATAAGTAAACGGTTTTTGGCTTGTAATAGTTTGCTCAGCAGTTAAAGGACATTACAATTGGTGTTTCTTAAAGTAACTATTTTATTCATTCACACTGAGTTGTTATCTTGTCAGAAGGATATTGTGTGACAGTATGTCAAATGAACCAAAGTGTGATTTTATACAGTGATTGTATTTAATCCATAGATTGAAAATGGATTTATTGCGGATATGACTCGCAACTACTACTATGGGGACGAGGCCCGAGTCCAGTGCCACCGTGGTTACAAGCTGATCGGTTCCCCCCTCGTCACGTGCGGTCCTGAGCAAAACTTCGTCAACCTCCCAACTTGTGAAGGTTTGTTATTATGCTTGTTCAGTGTATTTGTTTTCCTTTGTGTTGAGTGTCTATTTTTACTTAGCTAAAGCATTAAATCGGTAAATTAATGCATTTTTCTTTCTATTTTTTAGATATTAATGAGTGTGAAGCAGCCCAATGTGATGCAGCTTCAACTGAGTGCAAGAATACCCCTGGAGCATTTTCATGCATGTGCAAGGCAGGCTTCCGACCCAACCTTAACTGCCGTCCAAGAGGCGACCTGGGTTTGTCTGATGGTGGAATCCCAGATGATGCCATTAGCGTGTCTTCTACTGCTGCAAATTATGAAAAGAATGTAAGTGGTATATTTTTTGTGTGTGTAGTTTTATGCATATATAAAAGCAGAGACGGAATTTAATTGTCAAGTAACGTAATTTTGTCAAATATTCTTAACGAAATAATGATTCTCTTCTTACAGAGTGTCCGCTTGAACTCGCAACCCGGCTGGTGTGGTGCTGTGCCCGTCCCAGGCCGCAACTGGGTCATGGTTGACCTTAGAGTTCCCACAGTCATCATCGGCTTCCGAACTCAGCCCGTTGGACTCACTGATGGCCAGCTTGCCTTTGCCAAATCAATTCGTCTCCAATATACAGATGACCTAACAGATGTATTCAGGGAGTATACAAACAATGATGGATCACCAGTTGAGTTCAGGATCACCTCAGGAGCCTCTTTGTCAGTGGTGAATCTGCCTACCCCTGTGGAGGCCCGCTACATCCGCCTTACCCTGGCAGACTATGAGCAAGCTCCTTGCCTCAAGTTTGAGCTCATGGGTTGCGCCCGCCAAGACTGTACGGATATCAACGAATGTGAGGAAAACAATGGAGGATGTGACCAGAGATGCATCAATTCAGCGGGTTCTTTCTCTTGCCTCTGCAATGTTGGATATGATTTGTTCACAGAAAATGGAACTGCTGGATACGCCATTGAGAAATCTGAAAGTGGATTGAGGGATGGTGACACCTACCGTCTCAACAAGACCTGTGTTCGCAAAATGTGCCCTGCTCTTGAGTCACCAGAAAACGGAAAGTTACTTGACACACGAAGCATGTATCACTATGGAGATCTTGTCAAATTCCATTGTAACTTCGGCTACGTCATGATTGGATCCGACACCCTGACATGCACCAGCAACGGAGCATGGAATGGCACATTACCAGAATGCAGTTATGCATCATGCACACCACTCCAAGATGATCCAGCTCAAGGTCTGACAATTAATTATGCATCACCTGATAAACCAGAAGTCCCCTACATGGAGAATGTGACAGTCAGTTGTAATGTTCCAGGAAGACCACTACGGAAGACGTTGACATCTGGCTTCCGTGAGTGTGTGTATGACCCCCAGCCTGGCCTCCCTGACTACTGGCTCTCTGGCATTGCTCCTCAGTGCCCCCGTGTCAGCTGTGGTCTTCCTGCTGAGACTCCTGGTGCCACGTACGGCTTTTTCAAGGATACTCTTTATGAGACCAATTTCTTCTTTGGCTGTGAGGAAACCTTCAGCCTTGCCGGCCAAACTAGCAGATTTGACAATGCTGTACGCTGTCTGTCTGACTCTAACTGGGACTTTGGTGACCTGAGGTGTGAAGGTCCTGTATGTTCTGACCCAGGACACCCACCCGAAGGTATCCAAATTGCCACAAGCTATGAGCAAGGATCTCGTGTTAGCTTTGACTGCACTCGACCAGGATACATCCCTATTACTGATGAGCCTATTCGCTGTGTTAGAGAACCAGAGTGTCGTGTCGTTGCTCCCATTGGCATAACATCTGGCAAGATTCCAGCCTCTGCAATTAATGCCACCTCAGAAAGAGGCAACTATGAGGCACGTAACATCCGGCTGAACTCTGCTACTGGTTGGTGTGGACAACAAGAAGCTTTTACATATGTAACAGTAGACTTAGGTAAAGTGCACCGAATCAAGGCTGTTTTAGTCAAGGGTGTTATCACTAATGATGTTGTTGGACGACCAACTGAAATTCGATTCTTCTACAAGAAGCAAGAGGGAGATGATTATATTGTATATTTCCCTAATTTCAACCTTACTGCAAGAGACCCTGGAAACTATGGAGAATTGGCTATGATCACTTTGCCAACAGTTGTAACTGCTCGCTTTGTCATCCTTGGCATTGTGAGTTATGACAAGAACCCCTGCCTCAAGTTTGAGCTCATGGGTTGCGCCCGCCAAGACTGTACGGATATCAACGAATGTGAGGAAAACAATGGAGGATGTGACCAGAGATGCATCAATTCAGCGGGTTCTTTCTCTTGCCTCTGCAATGTTGGATATGATTTGTTCACAGAAAATGGAACTGCTGGATACGCCATTGAGAAATCTGAAAGTGGATTGAGGGATGGTGACACCTACCGTCTCAACAAGACCTGTGTTCGCAAAATGTGCCCTGCTCTTGAGTCACCAGAAAACGGAAAGTTACTTGACACACGAAGCATGTATCACTATGGAGATCTTGTCAAATTCCATTGTAACTTCGGCTACGTCATGATTGGATCCGACACCCTGACATGCACCAGCAACGGAGCATGGAATGGCACATTACCAGAATGCAGTTATGCATCATGCACACCACTCCAAGATGATCCAGCTCAAGGTCTGACAATTAATTATGCATCACCTGATAAACCAGAAGTCCCCTACATGGAGAATGTGACAGTCAGTTGTAATGTTCCAGGAAGACCACTACGGAAGACGTTGACATCTGGCTTCCGTGAGTGTGTGTATGACCCCCAGCCTGGCCTCCCTGACTACTGGCTCTCTGGCATTGCTCCTCAGTGCCCCCGTGTCAGCTGTGGTCTTCCTGCTGAGACTCCTGGTGCCACGTACGGCTTTTTCAAGGATACTCTTTATGAGACCAATTTCTTCTTTGGCTGTGAGGAAACCTTCAGCCTTGCCGGCCAAACTAGCAGATTTGACAATGCTGTACGCTGTCTGTCTGACTCTAACTGGGACTTTGGTGACCTGAGGTGTGAAGGTCCTGTATGTTCTGACCCAGGACACCCACCCGAAGGTATCCAAATTGCCACAAGCTATGAGCAAGGATCTCGTGTTAGCTTTGACTGCACTCGACCAGGATACATCCCTATTACTGATGAGCCTATTCGCTGTGTTAGAGAACCAGAGTGTCGTGTCGTTGCTCCCATTGGCATAACATCTGGCAAGATTCCAGCCTCTGCAATTAATGCCACCTCAGAAAGAGGCAACTATGAGGCACGTAACATCCGGCTGAACTCTGCTACTGGTTGGTGTGGACAACAAGAAGCTTTTACATATGTAACAGTAGACTTAGGTAAAGTGCACCGAATCAAGGCTGTTTTAGTCAAGGGTGTTATCACTAATGATGTTGTTGGACGACCAACTGAAATTCGATTCTTCTACAAGAAGCAAGAGGGAGATGATTATATTGTATATTTCCCTAATTTCAACCTTACTGCAAGAGACCCTGGAAACTATGGAGAATTGGCTATGATCACTTTGCCAACAGTTGTAACTGCTCGCTTTGTCATCCTTGGCATTGTGAGTTATGACAAGAACCCCTGCCTCAAGTTTGAGCTTATGGGTTGTGAAGATGAGCCTGCTGAAAACCGCCTCCTCGGTTATGATATGGGTTACCCAGTGTGTGTTGACAATGAGCCACCTCAGTTTGCCAATTGTCCAGCCAACCCCATAGTTGTACAGAAAGGTCCAAATGGAGTCCAAAGTGTCAACTTCACAGTACCTACAGCTTATGACAACTCTGGTATGATTGCCAGGACAGAAGTGAGACCACCAGGTTTCCGTCCTCCTATCCACATCTTCGAGGATACAATGGTGGAATATTTAGCATTTGATTTTGATGGAAATGTTGCCATCTGTCAGATTAATATCACTGTTCCTGATGACATTCCTCCATCAATTACCTGCCCCCAGAGCTATGTTATTGAACTGGTCGAGGAGCAAGAGAACTACAAAGTCAACTTCAATTCCACTCTTACATTGTCTAGTGTAAATGCAAGTGATAACAGTGGGGAATACACCTTAAAGGTAATGCCAGAAGTTGCACTGATCCGTGTTGGTGGCTATGAGAATGTTACTGTCATTGCCACTGATCCCTCAGGAAATAGCGCTTCTTGCAACTTCCAAGTAGCTGTACAAGCCACTGCCTGTGTAGACTGGGAACTGAAGGCTCCAGCCAACGGCAAGCTGAACTGTCCTCCAAACCAGGGTGAAGCTGTGCAGTGTTTGGCTACTTGTGATACAGGATTCAGGTTTACTGACAACATGCCAGTGAAAACTTTCACCTGCACAGAGGAAAACATGTGGCAACCAAGCCGCATGGTGCCAGACTGTGTGAGCGAAAATACAGAACAAGCTAGCTATGATGTTGTAGCAGATGTTATGTACCGAGCCAATGGAGCTGTGCAGCCTACATGTCTCCCTCAATATGAAAGTCTTGTAAAGCAGTTTTATGAGAGCCTTAACGGTGTCTTATCTAGTCGCTGTTCAGCTGCAGTTAATGTTGCTATGGATGTCATGTTCCATGAAACAAGACTAAAGTTGGTACAGGAAAATATGGTTCATGTTTCCTATATACTCCGTATCACACCTGAGGTAAAACAGAAACTTCTCTACGACCTCTGTGGCTCCACCCTGTCTCTCATCTTTGACCTGAGTGTACCTTCAACTTCTGCTGTAATTGAGCCAATCCTTGACTTGTCATCTGCAGGTAATGCTTGCCCACCAATGCAGGCACAACGTTCTAATGTTTCACGAGGTTTTACTTGCAATGTTGGTGAAGTCCTCAATACTGAGACATCGGAAGTGCCAAGATGCCTACACTGTCCTGCTGGAACCTTTGCCAGAAGGGAAGAAACAATGTGTACACCTTGCCCGGCTGGGTTCTACCAAGACCAGAGCCGCCAAGGTTCTTGCAAGCGTTGTCCCTCAGGAACCTACACTCGAACCACTGGCACTAAGTCAAGCTTGGAATGCGTACCTGTATGTGGATATGGAACATACTCACCAACTGGACTTGTTCCTTGTCTCAACTGCCCACGCAACTCTTACACAGAAGCACCCCCTGAAGATGGCTTCAAGGAGTGTCAGGCTTGTCCACCAGAAACATTCACTCATGCTCCATCTACTTCTTCACGGCAGATGTGTCGCCAGAAGTGCCGACCTGGAACTTACTCAGACACAGGGCTGGAACCCTGCGCTCCTTGTCCACGAAACTTCTACCAGCCTTCAATTGGCAGTACAAGTTGCTTCGAATGCTCTACAGGCAATTACACTGATGATGAAGGTGCTACATCAGGTGGGATGTGCTTATCTGTTGCTTGTTCAGGAGTCTGTCAGAATGGAGGATTATGCTTAGCTCGCCAGCATCAGGTACAGTGCTATTGCCCTGCAGGCTTTACTGGGCAGTTCTGCGAAGTTGATGTCGATGAATGCGCTTCAAGACCTTGTTACAATGGAGGCAATTGTGTGGACCTTCCTCAGGGATACAGATGTGACTGTTCTGAAGGCTACAGTGGCTTACAGTGCCAAGATGAAGTGAGTGAATGCTTAGAAGGCACCTGTCCAGATCGCGCAATGTGCAAAGATGATCCAGGTTTTGGTACCTTTGAGTGTCTTTGCCGCTCTGGTTACACTGGTGTAGGATGTAACATTACTGTTAATCCATGCACAGAAAAGGGCAACCCATGCACCAATCAAGGAACATGTGTACCTCTAGAACAAGGAAGATTCCGATGTGAATGTCAGGCTGGCTGGGAAGGTCGTCTCTGCGAAGTGAACATTGACGATTGTGCAGAAAATCCTTGCCTGCTTGGAGCTAATTGCACAGATCTGCTCAATGATTTCCAGTGTGACTGTCCCAATGGATTTACTGGCAAACGCTGTCACGTCAAGGTTAATCTTTGCCAGAACTCTCCTTGTGTTAATGGTGTTTGTGTGGATAATTTCTTCTCTCACTCATGTGTGTGCCACCCTGGCTGGACTGGCGAGAGCTGCGAGGTCAACATTGATGAGTGTGCTTCTGAACCCTGCCAGAATGGTGGTCAATGTGTGGACAGAGTCAATGGGTATCAATGTGCTTGTGACACTGGATATACAGGTAAGGCCTGTCAACACACAATTGATGACTGTGCATCAGAACCTTGCCAGAATGGTGGTACCTGCGTCGATGAACTGGATGGCTTCTCATGCGAGTGCAGACCTGGCTTTGTGGGACTCCAGTGTGAAGCTTCTATCGATGAATGCATAAGCAATCCTTGCAACCCAGTTGGTACAGAGAAGTGTCTTGATTTAGATAACATGTTCAAGTGCAAATGTCATGTAGGATATGAAGGCGAGTTCTGTGAAGTCAACATTAATGAATGCGAACCAGATCCTTGCCACAATGGAGCTGCATGCACAGATGGCGTTGCAGATTTCACATGCACCTGTCAACCAGGATGGACTGGCAAGCGCTGCGAGGTGGACATTGGCGGCTGTGAGTCGGCACCTTGTCTGAACGACGCTCAGTGCATCAATCTCTTTGAGGATTACTTCTGCGTGTGCCCATCAGGTACTGACGGCAAACAGTGCCAGGTGACCCCAGAACGCTGCGTAGGCAACCCATGCATGAATGGTGCTTCGTGTCAAGACTACGGTTCAGGCCTCAACTGTACTTGCTCTGAGGACTTCACTGGTATTGGTTGCCAGTTCGAATTTGACGCTTGTGAGGCTCAGCTCTGCGAGAATGGAGCCACATGTATCGACCGAGGTGCAGGCTACCAGTGCGTGTGCCCACCAGGCTTCACAGGTAGACACTGTGACCAGGACATAGCTGACTGCACATCAACCTCCTGCCCACCTGGCGCTACCTGCATTGATCTTACAAATGACTTCTATTGCAAGTGTCCATTCAACCTCACTGGCGAGGACTGCAGGAAAGGTGAGAATTTTATTAGTAAATCATACAAAACAAATTGAAATCCATATAATCGTAATATAATATATAATGGAAAATATTACAAATGTACATAGATTAATAATGTTTATATTTTCTTTTAGTCATCAATGTCGACTACGAACTTTACATCAATGATGAGAGCAAAGTTTCGAGCGCCTCCCTGGCCACACCCTTCCAACTGGGCATGGCCCCGTCCTTCACAGTGGCCATGTGGGTGCAGTTTGCTACCTCTCTTGACCTTGGAACATTCTTCACCCTTTATTCCGTCTCGTAAGTACAATTAAAGATTATACATTCTGTGTTTTGTGAAAGTGTTATATGTGAATCTGGATTAACCGATTTTTTTTCTCAGTTGTTCCTACTATTCATGGTAAAACCTCAGTTAATTAGCTGAAGAAAGGCTTACTTTTTTCATGGGAATCTTCAATGAAACACAGACAAGGTTTTCCATAGTCAGAATGATATCACATATACCTTAACGTTTTGTATGCCTTACATCTTGCAGGAGCCCATACATGCCAACTGATAAGAAAGTGCTGCTCCAAGCCACTAATGCTGGAATCGCAGTTGAATTCTTTGAGGACATAAAGGAATTCCTGACGTACCGCTCCAACATCCCCGTTAATGATGGCCAGTGGCACCATGTCGCCCTGGTGTGGGACGGCGCCGCAGGCACTCTGACTCTGACCACCGATGCCGTCGTCGTGGCACAGGTTGAAGGATTCGGACAAGATCGTATGCTGCCGATGTAGTAAGTAACACGGAAGGAGCGTGTGACGGTTACATGGCTAAAATATAAGTGAACATTTTTAGTGTGTCCACGCACCGCTCCAACATCCCCGTTAATGATGGCCAGTGGCACCATGTCGCCCTGGTGTGGGACGGCGCCGCAGGCACTCTGACTCTCACCACCGATGCCGTCGTCGTGGCACAGGTTGAAGGATTCGGACAAGATCGTATGCTGCCGATGTAGTAAGTAACACGGAAGGAGCGTGTGACGGTTACATGGCTAAAATATAAGTGAACATTTTTAGGTGTACAAAATAACAGGAAAGATTACTATGTGTGTGTAACTAATTCCCTCATCTTTTTCTCCAGTGCTTGGGTGACACTCGGATCCGTAGAGTCAGAGTTTGCAGGATACACTAACGAGCGTGGATTCCATGGACGCGTCGCTCGTCTGAACGCCTGGAATCGGGCCTTGGACTTCCGCACAGAGATTCCCAAGATGGTGAGTTTTATTTATATGAGATCTATGTGAATATGTAAAGGCGTGTTGATATACTGCAGCTGTATTTATCAGTAGAACATGAAAAAATATTTCTGAAAGTGAATAGATTGTCTAAGACAATGTCGCCTTCCAACAGGTCCGATCCTGCATGAACTCGCCCGTGATCTTCGACGGCCTCCTCCTGAGATGGACGGGTTACGAGAACGTGAAAGGAAACGTCGAGCGCGTCGGACCCTCAACCTGCGGCCAGTACGTGTGTCGTCCGGGCTACACCGGAGACTGCTCTGTGCTGGAGAGGGACAAGACCCCACCGCGCGTGAACCACTGCCCGGGAGACATGTGGGTCATCACTCGCAATGGGTCAGAGGTCGTGACTTGGGATGAGCCCGTCTTCTCCGATAACATTGGTGTGACGCAGATTTTTGACAAGTCCGGCTATTCTTCTGGTCAGGTAAGTCAGCATCTGGCTTTGTGTGATACATGAATGGACTTGTTTATTTCGTTAATGAATTTCGCTTCCCATAATGCACATTCCATAATCATTTCTTTCCTTTCAAACATAGGCCTTCACATGGGGTACATACGACATTGCAAGAGTAGCTTACGATGCCGCCGGTAACTCTGCAACCTGTGCTTTCAACATCTATGTCCTCGAAGACTTCTGCCCCAAGTTGGACGACCCTGTGGGCGGCATTCAGCGCTGCGCCGACTGGGGTCCCGGAGGCCGATTCAAGGTTTGCAAGATCGAGTGCAATGACGGCCTCAAATTCTCGCAGGAGGTAAGTTTGCTCGCGATGCATTGTCAACTTCGTGTTTGTGAGATACTTTCTTATCTTTAGGAGATGAATCAGTAATGTTATTTGTTTTGCTTTTGATAAGAGTGATTATGGGACCTTTGACTTTGGCGTCGCCTTGTCCCTTCAAGGATTATGTAACTGATGACCTTCCTAAAACCCTCACAGGTCCCCGACTTCTACACCTGCGGCGCCGAGGGCTTCTGGAGGCCGACGCCAGAACCGACCTTCCCCCTCGTCTACCCTGCCTGTGCCCCTGCCAGCCCTGCCCAGAGAGTGTTCAAGATCAATATGCAGTTCCCATCTTCAGTCATCTGCAATGCCGCCGGCCAAAACGTGCTGAGCGAGAAGATTAGTCTTGTAAGTTATCAGAGAATGATCTAACTTCCTTTAGATTATATTCCATTTGATACATTTCATTTATTACCTTACTCCATATTATATACTTACCTGACAGTGATCCATTCTCACTCGTATGTACAATTGTTAATGAAAATACAATAGCTTCATTCTAAAGGCACTGAACATTCTCAAACATACGTACATTAACAAATGCACATTATACACGTCTATCTTCATTCCAAAGGCACTGATCATTCACAGACGTCCTTACAATTACCAATGAAACCACAGTAACTAAGCACGTTTCCCTTTATTCCAAAGGCACTGAACAAGCTCAATTCCAACTGGAACATCTGCACCGACACTGATACATCCACCGGCGGCTGCAGCGGCCTTAACGTGGCTGTCGACTGCTCAAGGAGAAGCAGGTTGGCTCGCGAGGCCGTCGACGTCAGGGCGAGGAGGCAAGCATCTCCAGACTCCGACGATGTTTATGACGTCAAGATCACCTTCCCTTCTGTAAAGTGAGTATTTTTCCTTGTGGTTTTGTTTTGTTTTTGTTTTTGTTTGCTGTGCCATAGGCGAGATAAATGCAGTGTAGTTTCAGGGTTAATTGGTGAAGAATTTAGTTCACAGTGGTAATGAGGTAGTTTTCTCACAAGATTAGAGGATTTAAGATAAGGATTTCTCAGCATGGACCATATGCTGCTTTTATTATTACGTGATCATTCTTTTTCTAAGCAGGTCATGAATATTTTCAGAGAACGATATGAATATTATGAATTATTGCCTGATATAAATTCGGGTCCCTGTACCTTTTCTAGGTGAATGACAATTTAGTTTCAGGTGCTAATGATGCTAGCAGAAATATAGTCTGTATATTCCATCTTAGTGCATCAAATATACAACATATGGTATTATATGCTAAATAGAGAGCAATACAGATCGAAAAATATATATTAGGAAAATTAGGCATTTATGTAGAGGTTAGCAAAGCCACCTGAAACACCGACTTTGTTTTTTGAAATTTGTAATGACTTTCCCCCCCCTCCCCTCCCACGAATTCTTTGCCCCTCCCCCCTCCCCTCTGACCTCCTGAAGTGACGATCTGAGTGCCAGCAGGAGCCGAAGGGAGACAGATCAGGCATACCAGTATAATCTGGAGGTCTCTTTTGCTGCCAAGAAGTAAGGCAAATTGTTTGGAAGTCCTCCTCCTCCTCTTCCTCCTCCTCCTCCTTCCTCCTTCCTCCTTCCTCCTCCTCCTTCCTCCTCTTCTTGCCTCGATAATGCTTCTAAAATCCTAATCTGAAAAGGTTTCGCAGAGAATAGAGACCTAATAATAACAACAATCGGCCCCTTGAGCTTTTTCTGCTGTTCTCAATGCTTCTGCTTTGTGTCTGTTCTCGTGCGCGGGTCTCCAAAGGGTGCGTGGACCGAGAATGGGGTTCAAATGCCATCGGAACAAACTCCAGGCGAGAATAGTAGGCCGTTTTAACCAAACAACAGTAGAATGTAAAAGAGCTTTGCAGGTGGTTATTGGTTAAGCTTGTACTGTCCTGGAGAGCTTGTTGACTGTGTTAGTGTGGGTAGAATACAGCAGTCAGATTGCACAGTATATGGAATTCATCTGTTTACTAAAGTGACTTACTGTCTTCGGAATTACTTTGGTATTGGAAATTATAAATACGTCGTGCGTGCCTTTGCAGCGATGAATGTGTGCGTGTGTGTGAGTGAGTAAATGAGTGAATGAATATGTGTGTGTGTGTGTGTGAGTGAGTGAGTGAGTGAGTGAGTGAGTGAGTAAATGAGTGAATGAATGTATGTGTGTGTGTGTGTGTGAGTGAGTGAGTGAGTGAGTGAGTGAGTGAGTAAATGAGTGAATGAATGTATGTGTGTGTGTGTGTGTGAGTGAGTGAGTGAGTGAGTGAGTAAATGAGTGAATGAATATGTGTGTGTGTGTGTGTGAGTGAGTGAGTGAGTGAGTGAGTGAGTGAGTAAATGAGTGAATGAATGTATGTGTGTGTGTGTGTGTGTGTGTGTGTGTGTGTGTGTGTGTGTGTGTGTGTGTGTGTGTGAGTGAGTAAATGAGTAAATGAGTGAATGAATGTGTGTGTGAGTGAGTGAATGGATGTGTGTGTGTGTGTGTGTGTGTGTGTGTGTGTGTGTGTATATGTGCGTGTGTGTGTGTGTGTGTGTGTGTGTGTGTGTGTGTGTGTGTGTGTGTGTGTGTGTGTGTGTGTGCGCACGTGCATATGTCTACATGGATGGATGTATCTATGTATAACGTCACTGTAGTTACTGTAATTCTCATAGCTGTTTTGTATTAATCGGAACCTGTACATAAGTATCTAATCAGTTGGTATTAATGTAAGAAATTTACATTTAATGCAGGCAGATAAATTTGACTTTAAAATATATACCTAACTCAGTATATGCATATACTTTTTATAAATAATTACAATATCAGTCTCAGAGGTAAAACCATCATAAATATCTTTAACCAACGTTTAAAAACAAGAGGGGAGACTAAAGAGGAATTCCTCGCATAGCTTTCTCGCCTCGCTTTCCGCACTTTGCTCATCCGTTCCCCTCCCTCGCACAGCGACCCCGTCCAGCACTCCAACGCCGAGCTCGAGTCCACCGTCAGGCGTCTCATCGAAGGCATTATCCTGGAGAAGGACGAGTTCGACGTCCGCGACGCCCTGCCCAATGTGGTGCCCGACCCGTCCTCGCTCCAGCTCAACTCCGAGTACTCCTGTCCCGTGGGCAAGGTATGGGCGCGCCGAAGGTGGTGACCTCGGCTAGGCAGTGTGATGTGTAGATTGGAGTGTATAAGTATTTACTTTGTTTGTGTGGTTATGTGTTTTGTGTTGTTGCGCGTCTGTGTGTAACTGTATTGATTGTAGCAGTTCTGCTCGTACTCATTATCGACTGTTTGTACATCCACAGGTTGTAGTCGGCAGCGAATGCGTGGACTGCGCCCCTGGCACATATTATAGTACCGAGAGCAAAACATGCGAGCTTTGCGAGCTGGGAACCTACCAGAACGAGATGGGCCAGGTCGCCTGCAAGGCCTGTCCCGAGCGAGCGGGTCGCCAAGGCGTGACCAAGATTCCCGGGTCCCGTTCTGCCGAGGACTGCCAGGAGCGCTGTGCTGCTGGAAGGTACTTCGACGAGCAGATGAGCGTCTGCCGCTCCTGTGGCTACGGATACTTCCAGCCTGACGAAGGCAAGTTCTCCTGCAAGAGGTGCGACCGCGGCCTCACCACGCGCACCAAGGAGGCAGTGTCTGCCTCCGAGTGTCGCGAGGAGTGCGAGTCGGGTCTCCAGCTGGGAACCACAGGCCCGTGCGAGCCGTGCCCGCGAGGCACCTACCGCACCAAGGGCATCCACTCGTCGTGCATCCGCTGCCCAGCCGATCGTACGACCCAAGGACCCGGCGCCTCGTCCCTGGAGGAGTGTTCTCTCCCTATCTGCATCGCTGGCACCTACCTGTCGAACTCTGAGTGCCTGCCGTGCCCCAAGGGTTACTACCAGCCCGAGGCACTCCAGACAGCCTGCCTGAGCTGCCCGAAAGACACCTCGACCCGCGACGTGGGCGCCACCTCTGAGGAGGAGTGCTCCAACCCTTGCGAGGTTCACGGAGAGCAGATGCTGTGCGATTCCAACGCCCTCTGCCTCTTCATCTCGGAAACCAGCGACTTCGAATGTCGGTGCAAGCCAGGATACAACGGAACCGGCGAATACTGCGTCGGTAAGAAATCACACTTTTTCCAGATATTTCAGTTTTGTTCATATATCCCTTTGCAAACGTTTGGTCTGGAATTACTCTCGTATATAAACTCTGTATCTGTAGCAGTTCCGTAGTAACCACGCTTTTCCTTCTTCAGATAACTGTGAGAATTACTGCGAGAACAATGGCATGTGCCGGAAGAACGAGAACGGGGAGCCATACTGCGTGTGCTCCGGCTCCTTCACTGGCAACAGATGCCATGTAAGTACGACAGAAGACAAATCGGCGAGAAAGTAAAAGGAAAAAAAATCTTGATATACTTTTGTATATTTTACACTAGCGACACAACAGAATCTGAACCTTCATTCCTAACTCGAACCTTTATTCCTAATCTGAACCTTCATTCCTAATCTGAACCCCCATTCCAGCTCAAGAGTGACTTCACGTACATCGCCGGCGGCATCGCGGGGGCCGTGGTGTTCGTCATCCTGATCGTCCTGTTGGTCTGGATGATCTGCATTCGGGCCACGAGGCGAAGGGAACCGAAGAAGGGCTTCCTCGCGCAGCCGTCCACGGACCCCAACGGCTCGCAGGTCAGAGGCGTCGCCGCGTTCTGTTGGCGGGGCGGGATAAGGGTTGCTTTTGGGTTTGAGTATTATGGGATTGGGGTCGATTTCTTTTTAGGTGTTGTAGTATTTAGGTCGTTTTTTTAAGTATTGTAGAATTTAGAATTTGTAGAATTTTAACACGTTATTTAGCTCGGATGTTTCGTTTTTTATAGAATTTAGATAAACTTTTTTTTTTTAAATAATTCAGATCAGTTGTTTCCTTTTTTTATTCATCCTAGAAGTCGGATCAGCTGTTGATCAGAAAGCTCTTCCACAGGACGAATATCAGCCATGTCCTTCTCTCACTTACTCATTCACGTCGATGCTCCTTCCTTCTTCCTTCCCTCTTTCCTGACGCCCCATTTGATATCTCCCGCAGGTCAACTTCTACTACGGCGCCCCTGCTCCTTACGCGGAGAGCATCGCGCCCTCTCACCACTCCACCTACGCCCACTACTACGACGACGAGGAAGACGCGTGGGAGATGCCAAACTTCTACAATGAGACCTACATGAAGAGTACGTCTTGATCTTGCTGAGAGAGCCCTGAGAGAGCCGAGGCGGACTCCCCGTAGTCTAGCTAAGCTTCTGTCTTTCTTCTCCTCCTTCTTCTTCTTCTTCATAATAATAATAATAATAATAATCATAGTTTCCCTGATGCTTCTTCAAAGTGTATCAGTTGCAGAATGACTAATGTTTGTTTGTTTTTGTATAAGTTATTTATGCCCTATGTTCATTGTGTGGACATTGGTGGTCATGAAAAGTCAGTCGTATGTAAACAATCAACACCATTAGATTTTATTAGAAAACGGAAGTGCTTCAGTGAATGCTTTCATGAAAAGAATGACAAAATGTTGTGCAATCAAGGTCACTATCATTAACTGACTAACCAAACCCTCCTCAAACCAGCTGGGTTCCAGAATGGTGCCGGAAATAGTCTGGCTCGCTCTAACGCCTCGATCTACGGCAACAAGGAAGATCTCTATGACCGCCTGCGCAAACATGCATACCAGGGAAAGAAAGGTGAGGAAGACTGAAATATCACGAGCCAGCTTGTGTGATATGTTCAGCAACGATGCATGGACATGGCTGAGACAAAATGATAATTAAACGAACACAAAAAAAAAAATAAAATAAAAATTATGCTGCCAATGTATAGAAGAAGGAGTTAGCATGCCGGTATAATCACCCAGCAAGTGAAGAATGGGTCTTTGAAGAAGAAAAAAATGCAGTTTTAAATACTCATCTATGTATAGCATGGGCTCGTGGACAATCTTGCAATATTTACAAATACTGCATGAACCTATTGTAAAACAGCTAATTCGTGATGTGCATAATCATAGTTTCCCTGATGCTTCTTCAAAGTGTATCAGTTGCAGAATGACTAATGTTTGTTTGTTTTTGTATAAGTTATTTATGCCCTATGTTCATTGTGTGGACATTGGTGGTCATGAAAAGTCAGTCGTATGTAAACAATCAACACCATTAGATTTTATTAGAAAACGGAAGTGCTTCAGTGTCCAGAATGGTGCCGAGGAAAATAGTCTGGCTCGCTCTAACGCCTCGATCTACGGCAACAAGGAAGATCTCTATGACCGCCTGCGCAAACATGCATACCAGGGAAAGAAAGGTGAGGAAGACTGAAATATCACGAGCCAGCTTGTGTGATGATGTTCAGCAACGATGCATGACATGCTGAGACAAATGATAATTAAACGAACACAAAAAAAAAAATAAAATAAAAATTATGCTGCCAATGTATAGAAGAAGGAGTTAGCATGCCGGTATAATCACCCAGCAAGTGAAGAATGGGTCCTTTGAAGAAGAAAAAAATGCAGTTTTAAATACTCATCTATGTATAGCATGGGCTCGTGGACAATCTTGCAATATTTACAAATACTGCATGAACCTATTGTAAAACAGCTAATTCGTGATGTGCATGTGTCAGATGTTTTACACTGTATATATAATGGTTTATACTATATTCAGGACATGATTGTGTGATAGCCTTGTCTGACTAGATGAGGGACAACATTATCCTATTGACAGGCACGCTAGTACGAGTGATGCATGACATTTAGATAGATCAGCGGCATCACAGAGCAGGTTGACCTTTTTTTTTCTTTGGAAAGTCAGAATTTGTTGTGAGAGTAACAAGAAATGCCCGCCTTCTGGAGGAGAAGTAGATAGCTTACCGTTACAGAATGTCACCCGTCAAGGATTTTTCTTCTTCTTCTTCTTCTTCTTTTTCTTCTTCCTCCTCTTCCTCTTCCTCATCTCCTTCTCCTTCTTCTTCCTCTCCTTCTCGATCTCAGTAGTACCTATCATATTTGACTTTACTATACAGCAAAATTAACTGTTCTTTTAGTCCGGTTCTTGATCCGTTTCTCACCTCTCTTGACCTCTCTTTCTGGGTGACAGTGAAAACCTCAAATTACCCAGCGGTGGAAGGGAAACTAGCACTCCAAATGTCCTGTTAATAATCTTGTTGCAATGGCATGTTGATTGGTCACGTGATTGTGCATCAGGACCTTCACATTGTTTTTATTTAGATCTTACTCTCGGTAGCTTTACACTTGCATGTACTAATCTGCATGAATTAAGTTTTTTTTGTTTTAATCATAAAGAAAATGTTTCATATACATGTCAGTTCTTACATTGCTCATATCACCATAAATGAAAATCAAAATCGTATTATGTTTTATTCCTGTAGTCACAAACTTGATTATTGTTCTAGATTCTGAAATTCTGACAACATGGTTACACAGGAAAAGCATGCAAAAGAAACATATACACACAAAAAAAAATACATAGACAAAAGCACAGGTTTGGGTTAAGCAGTGTCTTACTTTCGCCTCCCTGGTGGTAATGTGTCCATTTCTTCTTATTTCCTCAACAGATAAAGACGAGACAGGTGACAGTGACGACCAAAATCTCTGATTCTTGTTGTTTATTCTAAAGTGTCAAAACATATATCTATTATGTTAATTAGTTTCTAATTAATTTACGACGTGGTCATCTATTCTTTTTTTTTCTCTCTTACAAAATGACAAAAAAAGGAGAATCGGTAAATAATGTATAGTAAACGACTCCACCGGTTGGCAAAAAAAAAAAAGCTTCTGGAAAATGATGGCATTATCTCCACATATCACCAACCGCAAGGAATCTCTACTGACGGTGCCTGTCCTTAGACTAGGAGCAAAGAAGCACGGTTAGACGGAGGCTAACGCGGCCCTGCAGGTGACTCCTTGGCCCCTGGCTAACCTGCCCCGTGCCCTGATATGTTCATCAGTGGATGACACCCTTAATGTTAACCCGGAACTGGATCTCAAGGCGGGAGACTAGGAACAATAGTTTATGTCAAAGGGTTTATGCTTTCAGAAGACAAAGTCACGGAGAAAGTCTTAAAAACTGTAGTGTTAGGAGTCGGTATTTCTCCTCCCCTTGAGGTCCACTTCCGAGGGACAGACTTGTGTGAAGTTAATTATATTTTTTTTCCCGAACTCAGGTGCGTGGATCAGTTATCACGTGTGAATGCGAGTGTCTGTGATTTGTTATACTATTCTCAAGCTTATCTGTTTGTCAGACAATTACAAAATCGTTTTTCTACTGGTAATGTAATTTTACCAAACACCATGGTTTGTGCAGGCAATCCTTATTTATTTATGCACTAGTTAACATTTCTTTATCTTTTATTTTGTATTTGCCGAGGATAAATTATGACTACTTGAGATTGGTGCGAAAGAGATCTGAGTTCAGAGCTGTACAAGAATACAGTTTTAATGTATTGTTAAGTTTATTGTGGGATGCAGTAAGGTTTTTAAAAATTTTACTGTTTAATTGTTTATATGGATTAAATACATTCCAAAGTATATTTCACAACTGTATAACTTTATAGGCTACAATATTATTGTAAAAAAAATATTTCCTTGCGGACATTTCTCTGTCCTGCTCAAGATTGTGAATACACGTTATTTTTTGTCAAATATTTGTATACTGTAATATTAACAAACATACTCTGTAAGCCCTTACAACACATAAATAAACTTAAATTTTAATTGTGTCTGTGTCCTTCTTCCCTGTAAAAATACCGAAGAAAAATATTGTAAAAAAAATATGCGTATTTAAAAGATGAAGAACATGAAGAGCATGTAATGATTTGGGGTATACATAGTACACCGAAGATTAAAGGCTTTCAAAGAAAATCTTGATTCTCTTGAAATTGGTTTGTGCAAACTGCAAACAACAAGCATTCACCCCGGGATTTATGGTACTGTGAAAGAAAGCCATCATTTTTGCTATACACAACTGCACTCGGAACTTTTGGTAGGTTTATAAATAATTTTATAAGTGTAATATTGTGCACTTGAACTGGCTGATAGCACAGTGACATATGGGTAACAAAAAAAATAAATCTGACACCCTGTCTACTTTGAGATTTGTAGATGTAAATTCATTTACCTTCACGATTAATCAATTCAACGGCTAAGATATTATACCCCCTCCTCAATACACGTTATCATAAAACTACCATGGATTTTTACAAACGTGCACAGAATCTAACTAGTTCCCCTGTAATAGTACGTAAAACCGATTTCATTACCTCTCTGAACAGTGTCAAACAAAACTTTGGATCACCG